CCTAGAATCCCCCAGTGAGGGGCTGGGGTGTGGCTCAGTGGTAGAGCACCTGACTCAGATGTCCAGTGCCCAGAGTTGAACCCCCAGTACTTACAACAGTGCCTTGAACATTCTAGGCAAAGTCTCTGTCACTGAACTCCATCCTCAGCCCTTATGATAGGTGCTAAGAAAAATGACAAATAGGAATCACTATCCACATGGAAACCAATGCCCCTTACCTGGGAGAAGAGAGCATTCAGGAAACCTTATCACTCCTGAGAGACTCCACTGAACATGATTCCCTATGCTACAATCTCAAGTGTCTCCCACACTTGTCACTTCAGAAAGAGATGTAATGCTCACTGATGGCTAATGTTCTAAAATACCTCTGCAAGGGAAGAAAACACATCTCCATCCTTCTAGAATGAGCCCCATGACTGGCTGGGACTCAGTACTCTTAGAGCATAGACTGGGTTCTAGAGTAGCTGGATCTGGTTGGTTGATATTTCAGGGTGCCTGTCAGCGGGAATGCAGAGGTGTCTCCTTTTTTGTTGCCTCTGAAGTATCTTGAGGAGTCACAGATGCTTCTCTGGGCTCCAGTACGAGCTGGGACAGAACAATGGGCCTGGGGTCCCCTGTTTCTTTACAGGAAATAAACTCAAATGATAAAAAGCTACTGAAAGACCCAAGACAAATCTCTTGCATCTCCTTCTCTTCTGCTGTCTTGGGGCTAGCTCTTTGGTCTCCCTCCTTCCGTACTCACCTCTGCCCCCTACCCCACCCAGGCTGGCAAGCGCAGCCTCCCTGACTCAGACAAGGCCATCTTGGACATCCTAGAGCATGACCGGAAGGAGGCTCTAGAGGACCGGCAGGAACTGGTCAACAAAATTTACAACTTACAAGAGGAAGTCCGCCAGGCAGAGGAGCTACGGGACAAGGTGGGAGCACCATGGGCTTGGGATTGCAGCCCCTTTCCCAGGAATCTCTGACGTCACACCCTAAGTCTGAACTGCCTGTCTGCACATCCCAGCATCCAGCCCCATTGTGGTTTGCAAAAATGTCAATCCATTCCCCACCTTCCCTTTGCCAGTCCAAGCAGCCACCAAAGATGTGTCTCCAAGGTCCATTCCTCAACAATCCACTGGGGACTGGCCAGCCTCCTCCTGAAGTCCCTTTTGATCAGTAACTGGCAATCAAGACCAGCCTAACACACCAAGTCTGGGCGGGGATAAACCAGCTGTGGCCACTAAGCAAACAGCCATTGGACTGGGGAGTATAAGCATTGCTCCCCGGCACCCATTTTGAAAGCCAGGCATAGTAACACAAACCTGTTATCCTAGTGCTTGAGGAGTGGAGACTGGAGGATGCCTGGGGCTGGCTGGCCAGTGAGCTTTACCCTGTCAGTGAGCTCTTGGTTCAGTGAGAGACCCTGTCTCAAAAAAGTAAGGAGAGTGATAGAGAAAGGTACTTGATGTTGGCCTCTGGAGGACACACACACACACACACACACACACACAGCCACTATTAACCTATTGATGGCTCAGTATAGTACCTCTCTCTCTCTATCTCGCTCTCTCATTGCTCGCAGTACCTGGAGGAGAAGGAAGACCTGGAACTTAAGTGTTCAACCCTGGGGAAGGACTGTGAAATGTACAAGCACCGCATGAACACAGTTATGCTGCAGCTGGAGGAGGTGGAGCGGGAGCGAGACCAGGTACAGTTCCGCCCCAGGGCAGCAGAGGCTGCCCAGCAGATGGAGTCTATTTGCCTGTGGTCTATGTGCCCGCCACACAGAGCTTCCCCGTGCTTCTATCTTCTCTGCCCTAGCTCAGAGATGAACTCCATCCCTGGGTACATGGGTCAGAATGCACAGGCCTCAGGGGATCATGGTGGCCTGAGCTGCACCCCGGTGGCCGCCAAGTCAGAGCATCGTGCCTTAAGGGTGGTCTCTTTAGTGACGGGAAGGAAGTTGAATTCCAATCCTGTCACTCATATAGCATGTGCCCAAGACAACATGTCTGTGTGAAGGCTCAGTGTCCTCATATGTAAAATGGAAATACGTTCCACGTTAGCATGGTGCGGACCCTGGGGATAGAGGACAGGACGCAGCTCTTCACGCTGTGCCTGGCAAGAGCCGGTTACGACACTGTAGGTTGCAGGACGCAGAAAGGAGAGTTAGATGTCCAAGCTCAGGGACAAGCTGGATGTGCTAATGCAGGCTTGCTGTCTCAGCGTTTGGGAGATAGGAACAGGAAGATCATAAGCTCCAGGCCTGCTGGGGCTACAAGAGTGAGTTCAACACCAGCTGGGCAACTTAGTGAGACCTTTTCTCAAAAAATAAAGAAGATAGCTGGGGCTTAAGAGTGGAATATGTACCTAGAATCCCCCAGTGAGGGGCTGGGGTGTGGCTTAGTGGTAGAGCTCCTGCCTAGAATCCCCCAGTGAGGGGGTGGGGTGTGACTCATTGGTAGAGCCCCTGTCTAGAATCCCCCAGTGAGGGGCTGGGGTGTGGCTCAGTGGTAGAACACACACCTGGTATACACAAGGCCCTGGGTTCAATCTACAGTATTTCAGAAGGAAGAGCAATGTTCAATGGTCCCTCGGCTGAAGCCTGAACTAGAGGTGATGTGTATCTCTGACCATACTTTAGTTTGCTTTGGGTGAACAAGTCGCTCTTCCTTGGCAGGCCTTCCACTCCCGAGATGAGGCACAGACTCAGTACTCACAGTGCTTAATCGAGAAGGACAAGTACCGGAAGCAGATCCGGGAGCTGGAGGAGAAGAACGATGAGATGCGGATTGAGATGGTGCGGAGGGAGGCCTGCATCGTCAACTTGGAGAGCAAGCTCCGGCGCCTGTCCAAGGACAGCGGCAGCCTTGACCAGGTAGGCTTAGCCAGCCACGTCCCCAGACCCACAGCCACGTGGCCTCTGGACCCCTGCTGAGGGCTGGCCAGAGCATCCCCATCTCACGATGTCATCATTGCATCCCCTGAAATCCCTAGTGTGTGGGGTGTGGGGGGGGCACACACACACAGGCTTGCCATCAAGCCTGACGACCTCAGTTCCATCCCTGGGACCCACATGGCTCCCCAGGAAGGACAGAACTAGCTCCCTCAAAGTGAGGAGTCTGGGCGACATTCCGGTCTGGCCACCACCCGGCTGAGTGACTCAGCTCACTTTTCCAACTCTCTGTGCCTCTCTGTGGACGGCAGCCGGCAGGGAGCCTCCCCCAGCACTCTCTGGTAATGTGGAAGGTCAGCAGGATTAAGGTACCCTGTGCTCTCGTTAAAGTTGCTGGTGCCCAGGGGTGGACACTCGTTAGCAGACAATGAGGTGGGTACAGGCTGCGTCCCCCAGGAGCCCCTCGAATGAAGGAACGCTGCTGCCGTTCCCATGTGTGGCATGACTGCTGTAGCGGAGGGTCTCCCAGACCTGTCCTCGGTCCTGAGCACAGGCTTGCCGTCCCATAAAAACACCACGGCGTCAGCTGGGGAGACAGCTCAGTGGGTAAAATACTGACCAGACAGGCACGAGGAACTGAGCTCACTCCCCAGAATACGCATTTTTTTAAAGAGGCCAAGCTTGATGGAGTTTGCCTACAACCCCAGTGCTGGAGAGGCAGAGACACGCAGATCCCCCGGGCTCGCTGCCCAGCCAGTCTGCTCTGCTGGGTGAGGTCCAGGCTGAGTGAGAGACTCTCTCAAAAATGGAAGGTGAGGGCATCTGTGTAATGACCCCAAAGGGTATCATATGTATGCCTTCACATATGTATGCCTGCAAGCCACACACACACACACACACACACACACACACACACACACAGCATAGGAACTACCGTGACAGAAAGTGCCACGCAATTACATCCTCATTTGTAAAGAAAGGGAATACAGTCTCAGCAGCTGGGCACAGGCAAAACCCTAGTATGTGAACTGTGTTGTTTATTCCAAGTTCAAGGCCATCATGAAACCTGTAGAGGAGCCTTTCCTTCTAGGGTTCCAGAAGGACTAAGGGAGTTCTGGAGGCCAGAGGCCCCACCTGGGAGGCCCTAGCCTGACTCTGCTTAGCCACATGTGCCACTCAGTTCCCAGTCACAGCCCCTTCTCAGGGGGACCTTTTCTGGCCTAGTAATGGAACTCCGGAGCTCCTGTGCTATAGTTTCATCCTGTGAACAGGACAGTTTGTGATTTATGTGAGCCTCACGCAGGCCCCTCTACTGTCAGCACAGTGCTAGATATAGCTCTCCTCCGTGAGTAGCTGCTGGGTGTCTTCCTCGAGCTAGCGTCCCCCACCCAGACTGAGAAAGGAGCAGCACAGATGGCAATCCAACCCTGGAGGTGGCAAGAGCCAAGACCGAAAGGCAGACACAGCCAGCAGGTGGCCAGCAAATGCTGGTCCCAGCTGTCTGTTAGACCAGGAAGCAGCACAAGGGATAGACCCATGTCAAGGTGACAAGCCATGGCATCCAGGTGGATATTCAGGGAGTCAGAGAAAAACAGCCCAGGCTGAGTGTCAAACTTGGGTACCCAAGGGGGAAAAGTGGTGCCTTCAGCCAATCTGCCTTATGGCTACCACCACCCTTCCCTCACGCATGTCCCTTTGTGCCCAGAGTCTGCCTAGGCACCTTCCAGCCACCATCATCTCACAGAACTTTGGAGACACCAGCCCCAGAACCAATGGCCAAGAAGCCGATGATTCTTCAACCTCAGAAGACTCTCCCGAAGACAGCAAGTACTTTCTGCCCTACCACCCACCCCGGCGTCGGATGAACCTAAAGGGCATCCAGGTACCCAGGGGTAGGGGTAGGAGGCAGATGGTGGCTTGGGGGTCCCAACACAGGCTGAAGGGGAGAGCACTGCTTGGGTGTGACTTGAGCTGTTACAGCCCTGGACAGAAATCATGCCTCCTTGTGGGTGTCCATCAGTGTGTGAGAGAATCCTCTTTAGATTCCCTTCCTGGGTTGAGAGCTGAACACCACAGCAGGGACCCTGTAACTTTGGTTGGTGCCCAGGGAGATCCATGGCATGTGGCTGGTTCTGGGGAGTTCTCGAGTCAGTGGGTGGTTAAATGGGATGGATGGATGGGTGAGTACTTTATGCATAAATGTATGCATGCATGAAGGTTGGAGAGGTAGATAGAAGGACGAAGGGATGGGTGAACGGATGGATAAGTGCTAATTGGTTACATGGATGGACACAGGATGGTGGATGATGGAGGGTTGGGTAGATGGATGGATGGTTTCAAGAAGGTATGGTGGACTCATAGATGACTGAGTGGGTGGATAGATGGATTGATGAATGAGTACATGGATAGGTGGGATGATGGCTGGATGGATAGATGGAAGAATGGGTGGTAGACTGATGGATAGGTGGCTGGGTTGTTGGATGGGTAGATGGATAAAATGAGTAGATATGTGAATGGATGGATCATTACATGGGTGGACAATGGAAGAATAGATAGGTGGGGGATGGATGATGGATGCATGTGTGGGTGGATGGATGGATGGATGTGTGGATGAATGTACAGACTTTCATAGATGAAGGATGGATTGATGGGTGAGTAGCTAGATTAATGGATTGTGGATGATAGACGGCTACATGGATGAATGGATGCTTACATGGGTAGATAACGGATTAATTGATGGGTGAATGGATGGATGCATTGTTTCATGTGTGTTTTCATGGATTGGTAATGCATCAATAGATGGGTGGATGGTAGATAAATAGTTACATGGGATGGTGGATGAATGAATGGATGGATGGGTAGATGGATAGTGAGTGTCTGTGAATAAATGGGTAGTTACATGGATGGGTGGATGGATGATGGATGGGTGGATGGATAGATGGATGGATGATGGATGGGTGGGTGGATGGATGGATGGATGGATGGATGGATGGATAGATGGATGGATGGATAAGTGGATGGATGGGAGGTGAATAACTGGATAATGGATGGGTGGGTTGATGGATAGTTGACATATGGGTGGATTGATGATAGATGTGTGGATGGGTTATGGATGGATGTGTGGGTAGGTAGATGGATGGATGAGTGGATGGATGGATGGATGAATATATGGACTGATGAGTGGATGCATAGATGAATAGGTGGGTGGGTAGGTGGATGGATAGATGGGGTGGATGGATGGGTGGATGATGGATGGATGGATGGATGGATAGGTGGATATATGGATGGATGGATGGATGGATGGATGGATAGAGAATAAGTAAAAGAATGAGTAGATGAGTATGTGGGGTTGGCTCCATGGGTAAGTTGTATTATTGAACTATACACAGTGTTGAGCCATAGCACCTGCACTATTTTGTCCAATGACACTCACAGCTGATAAGCCAGAGCACAAGTGTCCACTAAGTTCCTGATGCATAGTCTAGCATAAAGAGCATAAACCATAACCTTGACCCTACCCTCAGGGAGCTTCTCTATCTGGTAGAGAATATGAGGTTCCATTTAACCATAGTGGGAATGGACCATATGAGTATCAAATTCTGTGGCACCCAGGAGGGAACAGGTATGACCCCCACCCAAATAGCATTTGCCACACTGGGCACTAACTCCCCTCTCTGCAGATATTGTCACAAGAGACGAGTTCCTCCGAAAGCAGAAGACAGAGACCATCATCTACTCCCGGGAAAAGAACCCCAACACCTTTGAATGCATCGTCCCTGCCAACATCGAGGCTGTAGCAGCCAAGGTGAGGGACACTGGGTACCGGCTAGCCTCTGTGAAGCCCTGGGCCATGGTCAAGGGTGAGTGGCCACAGCTATGTCCATCCTCTCTCTCTACTCAGGACCCAGATCACTCTCTTCCTCCACTCTTTGTCCTTGGATCTCTGATATGGGCTTGTTTTCTGGGACCCATGTCAACTAAATATGTGTGTAAAAAAGAGAGAAGAGAGAGAGAATGAGCATGTACTTGGGTGAGACAAGAGCACATCCTAATTTGCTTTCTGTTGCTGTGATAAAAACTGTGAAACAAAAACAACTTGGGGAGGGAGAAAAGGGTTTATTTCATTTTGCAGCTCTCAGGCCACATTCCATCACTGAAGGAGGTCAGGGCAGGAACTCCAGGCAGGAACCTAACGGCAGGAAACGAAGCAGAAGCCATGGAGGAACACTGCTTACTGGCTTGCGCTTCTTGGGCCTGCTCATCCTGCTTCCTTACACAACCCAGGACCACCTGCCTAGGAGGTGGCACCACCCACAGTGGGTTGGGCTCTTCCACATCAATCATTAATCAAGACAACGCCCACAGAAGACAGTATGATGAAGGCAGTTCCTTAATTGAGGTTCCTTTGTCCCAGATTAGTGGGTGGGTATCATTCCCCAGCTGCTGAGTTGATGGCTGAGTTAGTTGATTGCAAACTATGCAAGAATGGGGAGCTAAATTTAATCCTCAGAACCCACATGAAGATCCAGACATGGTGGCAATGATGTAATCCCATCATTGGAGATGGAGAGACAAGATGTGGGCCAGCTATTTTATGTCATCTTGACACAAGCTAGAGTTATCTCAAAGGAAGGAACCTCAAATGAGAAATTGCCTTCCTTAGATCGAGCTGTAAGGCATTTTCTTAATTAATGACTGATGGGGGAGGGCCAAGCTCACTGCTCATGGTGCCATCCCTGGGCTGGTGGTCCTGGGTTCTATAAGAAAGAAGGCTGAACAAGCCATGGGGAGCAAGCCAGTCAGCAGCACCCTCCATGGCCTCTGCATCAGCTCCTGCCTCTAGGTTCCTGCCCTGCTTGAGTTCCTGTCCTGCCTTCCTTCAGTGATGGACAGTGATATGGAAGCACCAGGGAAACAAACATTTTCCTCCCAAGATCCTTAGGTCATGATGTTTCGTAGCAGCAATAGTAACCCTAAGATAGGAAGGTTCCTTAGTTTCACCGACCAGAACCATCTGGCTTAGCAAACCATTGAGCCTCAGGCCAAGAGAGAAGCCCTGTGATTGACACTCCGGTTGATTTCTCTTGCCTTGCCTCCACATTCCCACACAAAACATCAGAGCCATGTACGTAGGCAGCCAGGCTGGGCTACCTGAGATCCTGTTTCACAAAAGGAAAGTCAGTTCCTATCGGGAGGCCTGGCCAGTGAGAGAAAGAGAATGGGTCTGGTCAGGCACCAGATGGCTTGTTCTGGAAAGGTGGTGCCCCCCAGCCTGGGTTAACAGGAGGCAGGGAGCAAACAGTGAGGGGAAGAAAGCCCCCCACCCCCAGGGGTGTTCTGGGTCTACCTGCAGCCTGGGTGCTGGTCCACGCTGTCTGTCTCTGTCTCTCTCCCTTCCTGTCTCCCTCCATCCCTCCATCCCTCTCTCCCCCCTTTCCTTTCCCTCTAATCCTCCTTTCCTCCCTCTCCTTCCCACCCCTCCCCCTCTCCTCTTCTCTCTTCCCTCTTCCTCCTTTTCCCCACCCTCTTCTCCCTCCTCCTCTTCCCCCTTCCTCCTCCTCCAGTTTTCCAAGACGCTCACATTGTGTAGATCAAAATGGCCTGAGAACTAACTAGAGTCTTCTCCCTCCCCCCTCTTAAGTGACAGGAATCACGTACTGCCACACTTGACTTTTGGCTTTTTTATTTTTTAAGATATTTCTTGTGTGTGTGTGTGTGTGTGTGTGTGTGTGTGTGTGTGTGTGTGTGTGTGTGTATTTACTTGAGCACAGTGCAAACAGAGGTCAGGAGAGGGCATCATAACCCCTGGAGCTACAGTTCCAAGTGGCTGTGAGCTGCCACATGTGTGTTCGGAACTGAACCTCGGTCCTCTGCAAGAGCAGCAAGCACCCTTAACCACTGAGCCATCTCTCCAGCTTTAGTTTCCTTGTTTTTTACATAGGCTCTCACTGTGTAGCCCAGGCTGGCCCAGAACTGGCTGACTGTGCAGCTGCCCTCTAGTCCCTGTCTTCCTGCCTCTGCCTCCTGAGTGCTGGGATCACAGGTGTGCGCCACTTGCTTTTTTATATGCTCCTTTCTTTGCTTCCTTCTTTCTTTTTAGTTTTGACACTAAGCCTTCCTGCATAGTCCAGGCTGACCTGAAACTCATGATGCTCCTGCCTCAGCCTCCCACATGCTGGAATTACAGACACACACACACCCAGCTTTCTATGCTCTCTTTCTTGTTTGGTTTGGCTTGGTTTTTTAGAAAGGGTTTCACCATGTAGCCCAGGCAGACCTGAAATGTTCAATCTTTCCACCCCAGCCTCCCCTAGGGCCAGGATGGCAGTTCCATTTTTGTCTTTGATGTAAATTTTGAGGGTTTTTTTTTTTAAGTGATTTTGCCTTCAGCCAAATCGGAGTTTTCCTTTTTTGAAAATAGCAAGCCCCTGGGTAAGCAGGTAGTCCCAAGGACCCTTCAGCCACCTCCCTTGCTGGCATTTCCTGTTCTTACCAGGAACAGCCCAGAAGGCTGGACAGCAGGTGTCCACTGCCGGCCCGAATGTCACTGTGCTCAGCGGGGCTGAGCAGTGTTCGGGGGCGTCGGCCTTCGGCCTCACCAAGGCCAGCTTTTGAAGTTCCCTAGCACAGCCTGGCGCCCAGCCCACTGGGGCGGGGCGTGTGGGGCCACTGCTGACGCGGCTGCTCTGCTTGCAGAACAAGCACTGCCTGCTGGAGGCCGGGATCGGCTGCGTCCGTGACCTGATCAGATGTAAGGTGTACCCCATCGTGCTGCTCATCCGAGTGAGCGAGAAGAACATCAAACGGTTCAGGTCAGGACACCCGGCCCCACACCTGCCTCGCATACCGTGCTCTGCTCAGCCCTTAAAAAACCCTTAAAGCCTCTAACCCTGAGCCCAGCCGCAGATGCTGGTGCACATTTGTAAGAGACAATGGGATGAATGGGCTGAGGTTTCCCACGTGCACATGGTTGGGAGAGGCCCAACTTCCTGTCCCTGAAAAAACCAAGTTCAAAGAGGGAAGTGGCCAGACGTGGTGGCCCGGGGCTATCACTCGGCCACTCAGGAGGATTGCGGGTTTGAGGTCGGCCTGGTAGCATAGGATGCAGCCTTGAAAAGGGGGAGTATTCTAAAACCTGCCACAATACGGGTGACACTCCAGGACCGGACGCTGTGAGAGCAGCCGGGAGGGCACAGCATGTGCTTCCCCTCACAGGAACTCCCGGAAGTATCAGACTCCTAGAGACAGAGAGCAGAATGGTGGGAGCCAGGTACTGAGGAGGTGGGGGTCGAGTGTGTGTTTAATGGGGACAGAGTTTCCATTTGGGATGATGACCTGATTCTGGAATGAAATGGGTACTCACCATGTAGCCCAGGCTAGCCTTCAGCTCACGTTAGCCCAGGCTGGTCCCAAGCTCTCAGTACTGTTACGTATACTCACTGCTATAACCCCAGCACATGGGAGGTGAGGCAGCGGGTACCAGGCATGTGTGGCCCAGTGTGGCCGGCAGCTGCGCAGTCCAGGCTTCCGTCTCACACTGTGGGCATCACATGGCCTCCCCTTGTCTTCCCTTGCTGACTCCCCCCCACCCCCCGCCACAGGAAGCTGCTGCCACGGCCGGAGACGGAGGAGGAATTCCTGCGAGTGTGCAGGCTCAAGGAGAAGGAGCTGGAGGCGCTGCCCTGCCTCTACGCCACCGTGGAGGCTGAGATGTGGGGTAGCGTGGAGGAACTGCTGCGTGTCCTCAAGGACAAGATCCTGGAGGAGCAGCGCAAGACCATCTGGGTGGACGTGGACCAGCTGTGAGCCCATCTGGGCGTGAGCAGTGGACGCAGAGACGGGGGCCCTGCTGGGGTGGGCAGAGCCCTCGGCAGGGCCGGCAGAGCCTCCGAGGCCAGAGCGGCGGCTGGAAGTAAACTTGGGCAGGGACAGGCGACTACCTGCGAGGGGCAAGCCTCGGAAAGCCAGAGGGGCCGCCGGCCCTAGAGGAGGCACAAAGCATGCCTCCACACAGGCTGGGTCCGGGAGCCGGGACTCCCCCCTCCCCCCCCCCCCCCCCCCCCGTGCCCTTCTTTTTCTGGCAATAAATTTTCTCAGTTCCTTGTTGGGGACGGAATCCTTTGCAGAGCTCCTGACCCCACACCGGCTCACTAGCTGGGGCTCCTTCTGGCAAACTCAGGGAAGGTGGGACCAGGCTCAGGTTTCCCACGTGCTGGGGGGGGAGGGGAGGGGCGTGAAAAGAGGTTCTTCCTACCCACCTCGGTTGCTGACTGTATAGTTTCTCACGAGCCACTCCCACCCCTGCAAGCCCCCCTCCCCAGAGTGTTTACAGGTTGGTCCTGGACAGATAAGCACAGCTGTTGTGAGCTCATGGGCGCAATGTCGTGTCCTGTCCAGACGACAGCATTTCACGGCTCTCCTCCCCATCCTCGGACTTTGGCGTCTCTCTCCACACGCTTGGGGTGGGAGGGTCGATACGGATGTCCCATCTCCAGCCGCTCACAGTCACTTACTCCCAGCATTCTGCCCGTCACACCGCTGCAGCAAGCACTGCCGGACGCCTCTCTGACCTTGAGAGCAGCACACTTCTGTGGGTATGTTACGTGGAAAACGTCGCACATAATCAAGACGCCGTGTGTCCCCTTTGTTCTCATCCTAAAGAAAAATAAATAACGCGGTGCAGCCTGTAGCCGTTTCCGCCACTTTCTAAAGCTACCAAAGGGCAATGCTAGGGAGCTAGGCGTGGATAGCCAGGGGACCCAAAGGGTATTAGTTCTCTCTTCCCTGCATGGCCCATCCCTACTCTGCCAAGGAGCCAGGCACCTTTCAAATCGGCAGTCCTGGCGAGGCCAGCAAGCATGGAGCCCTGTTCTTCCAGAGCAGCCCCTGGAAACAAGCTAACTGCTCTGGGTCTGCTGAGGTCCAGCTGCAGCCATTTAAGCCGAGATAAAGCGCCTGGTGAGAAGCCGAGGGGCGGCAGGGCTGACGCTCCCACCTCGATAAAGCCTGAAGTGATGGTAAATTTCCTCCAAGCACAGGCCGTCCTACTTCCACTTACAAGTCTCGCCGAGGGGACAGACGTGACCAGAAAGGAGTCTCGGATAAAAGGTCTACTGATTTATTTCTATTTATTTATTTAAGTACGGAAGCCTCAGGCTGGCTGAGCTGAAAAACCAAACACACTTGCATAGAGTTTGTGGGGAGAGGTGCAGAGGGAAGATCTGGCTCCCCCACCCCAGACATAGCCAAGCTGATGGGGAGAGGGTGGAGAGGGCAGGGAGGATGGAAGGAGGTTCCCTCCAGTACCCCACATTCTCCACACTGACCTTAAGTCAACACAGCCTCAAGCTCAGTCCAGGCTCCTGGGCCTTGTCCCCCACAGGGGGCCACCACAGGCCAGCCAGTCCTCCCCCACACGGGGCCACCACAGGCTAGCCAATCCTCCCACACACACAGGGCCACCACAGGCTAGCCAATCCTCCCACACACACAGGGCCACCACAGGCTAGCCAGTCCTCCCACACACGGGGCCACCACAGGCTAGCCAATCCTCCCACACGGGGCCACCACAGGCCAGCCAGTCCTCCACACACACGGGGCCACCACAGGCCAGCCAGTCCTCCCCCACACACGGGGCCACCACAGGC